TTCAACTGCCATGACATTTTTATTCATTAAAAAAGATTAAAATGTTTAGAATAATCAGTAGGTGCATATCTACAGTATTATTAATGAATATATGTAAGAAAGAAACAAATATTTGGTAGCACACTCTATGAATTTTGGATTACTGTGGCTATCATTTAAATTAAAAAAATGCATAGAATAGATCATTGATTTGTCTTCCGAGATGAAATTCATTTTCACAGTGGGTACATATCTAACACAAAGACAACTGCACAGTACATATGAACTTATCACAATACAATAAAAAAATCACAACAAATGCAAGAGTGTAAGATGATGGCTGATTTCCTGTGTTTAAAGCACGTATAGCTATAGGAACAAAACTTTTACTGTAGTTAGTCTTCCTGCACATCTGTAATTATACCTTCGGCCAGAAGGAAATGGACTCAAATACAGATGGATTGGGTGATCTGGATCATTTAGGATTAAATGTGCTTTCCAAATCATAGCTAAAGTGACACAGTGACAGTCTGATAATTTAGGAGTAGGAATAGAAATAAATATGAATGGACCCAAGGCTTTGTGTTTGTACAAGAATGTCCTTGAGTCCTTTAAAAAATAAACTTCATGGCTAATAATCCCTGCAGAACTCCATTAGTCAGGTTTTTTTTTTGGAGTGGCTAGATGGAAGGAGTGAAAGCCATTTGAGATGCCACCTGGAGTTTCCCCACAGGTCAGGGGCCAACTACATAAACAGCTTATTACAGTCATCCGTTTTTGTTTGTTTGTTTTATCAGTTGCATAACATCTTTGATTCAAATTTGAGAATAAAAGTGAGACTGATTAGCCCGCTAGTCGGTCAGACTAGTTCGTATTAAGTATCAACATAATGGCTGTTAATACAACAGGCCCCAGGTCAGTTAAAACAGTTTAAATACAGTAATACAATGATATTAATACATGTTAATTGTGACTTCATTTGTTGTCCAATATGTGGTCAAAGTATCGGAGTTCTTCCTGTAGTAGCTCTACTCGTCCATTGGGGGCGCGCTGTCAATCAAACTAAATCTGTCGAGATGGTCATGGCGGAGGGCACAGCTGTTCTGAGGAGGAATAGACCAGGCACTAAGGCGAAGGTAAAATGAACAGCGAGTAACACTTAAAAGCGTTCTCTAAACTCAATCTCACTTAATATGTTCGTAGAGAATATTCTAATGGCAAATTACATTTTAAAAAAAGAAGATTTGTTCTCCTGCGAGCGGAAGCCGCAGAAATGCTAAAGAGCTAAGCTAGCAGTTAGCCGAGAAAACTAATGATTCCCAAATGCAGGGTTTTAGCTGAATATCCTGTTCAATTTAATTGGTCATAATAG